TTCTCTGTATGGCTTATTTCACTTAGCATCACACTCTCCAGTTCCATCCATGTTGCTACAAAGGGCCATATTTCATTCTTTCTCATTGCCATGTAGTACTCCATTGTGTATATAAACCACAGTTTCTTTATCCATTCATCAGTTGATGGACATTTAGGCTCTTTCCATAATTTGGCTATTGTTGAGAGTGCTGCTATAAACATTGGGGTACAAGTGCCCCTATGCATCAGTACTCCTGTATCCTTGGGTAAATTCCTAGCAGTGCTATTGCTGGGTCATAGGGTAAGTCTATTTTTAATTTTCTGAGGAACCTCCACACTGTTTTCCAGAGTGGCTGCACCAATTTGCATTCCCACCAACAGTGCAAGAGGATTCCCGTTTCTCCACATCCTTTCCAGCATCTGTAGTCTCCTGATTTGTTCATTTTGGCCACTCTGACTGGCGCCTCACAGCTGTTTTAAAGGAGTTTATACGTAGTAACAATGACAGCTAACATTCACTGAGAATTTACAATGTATCAAGCACCATGTTAGGTACACTACATGTATTAACCAGTTTAATCCTTACAACCCTAAGAGTGTGACTCTATTATTATCCCAGTTTCATAGATGAACAAACTGAGGCACAGAATGGCTATGTAGCCTGCCTCAGGTCACCCAGCTAGTAAGTGACAGAGCTAGGATTTAAATCCAGGCAGTCAGGCTCCAGATATAGTACCCCTAACCACTAAGCAGGCTGTTTCTGAATTCTTTACAGACCGAATTATGTAAGGAGAAACATGTGCAAATTACTGAACTGTTGTACCTCAGTTTCCCCATCTGTAAAGTGAGGATAATATAACTTCCTTTACAAATTTGTTGTTAGGATTAAATGAATACCATACATGTAAAGAATTTAGAACAGTGCCTGATGCATATTAAGGGCTTTGTAAGTGCTTCCTTTATATTACATGTTTTACTTAATAGTTTTTTGATGAGCTAGACATTTTTCAAATGAAAGAATATATATATATATAACTTCACTGTATGTCCCAGATAACATATTTGGTCTTACCTTGCCTAGGAATAACATGAAATCCCCCACCGTGTTGATCGCAGCCACTCGTAAAGCATTCTCCACAAGAATGACAAAGGCGTCCTTGGCGGAGGTGCAGAAGTTGGTGCTGTTGATAGCTGTGGCTGTGTATGCATTCTGGACAAGGCAAAAAACAATATTTTCATTAATAAATGTGATTTTACCTCGTTAAGATATAAACCAAATACAGTGAACACACGGCTTATTCAAATAGTCCACAGTTAAACCCATGGCTTTGGTGAGGTACAGGTTAAGATTAAGTGCAAGGAAATACAAGACATTAAAAAAAAAAAAAAGCCTGATATGGTAAAAAGAGCTTTTGGTTGGCTTAGTTTTAGTCCTTTTTAAAACACTGACATTTATTAACACACACACAGATTTTTCTAACATCCATTAACTTCTTCCCTGTCTTAGTAAATCAAACATAATTTAACCTTTCCTGGATGTCTCAGGTTCATCACTATGAATATCAGTGATGCATTATTACCATTTTAGTGATGCTTTAAAAGCTACACAAATATGTAAAGGCATAAGGATGCTGTGCTGTTTTATCCGGAACATCTGCCATCTCCTCTTTGGTGTTTCCTTTCATGCTGTCACTTCTCACAGCTCTTGTGGTAGACAGCCGTTTGTTGCTCCCTCCTTCCTGGGAGCAGGACCCTGAATCCCCTTTGAGAAAACAGTCCTTCCCCATTCTCTTAGAGTCTGAGTCAGGGACACTACCTGTAGCTCTGGGGGCAGGCCTTGATCGATGTGAGCCAATCAGCATGTTCTACCCACCTTCTCAACGGTTGGTTCAGGAACTGGTACATAAACTCATAGAGCCAATGAAAGTAAAAGATGTTCCCTGGGGCTTCTGGGAAAAAGAAGTTTCCTTTCTCTTCCATGGAACTCCTGACAAAGCAGCTCTCTGATTTTCCTGGATAGCGAGATGTGAGGGCTGCGAGGGCTGTTTTGCCAACACGATGGGAAGAACCCAAAACTGCTGGGGGTCACAATGTGTAACGGAGGGTGAGGCTAACATCATGGAGGTCAGAGCAGAGAGAAACCCATTACTAGTACTTGGTGACAGCTGTCACATGATGTCTGCATGATTAGGAACTAGCCAGATTGCTGGACTTTTCAGCCAGAGAAGCGAATACATTGCTAAATATCTCTCTCCTCTCCTCCCACTCTCTCTCCCCCCTTTTCTTTGTCTCTCCTTTTAGGCCAGACTGAGCTAGCTACCTTTCTGTCCCTTGTAGTACTGAGTCCCAGCTGACACACTTTTATTCCATTATACCTGCTTCTGCTCTGTGTCCTCTCTGACCCGCAGTCACAGACTCTGATTTTTCCCCCCTTTTTACACTGCATTCTAGAAGACGGCTGGCATTTTCTGGGAAATGTGAATAAGTACTATAACATCAAATACATCTGAATCTTAGGAAGGGAAAGTTTATAGACTTTGTGGCTAAAACTTATAGCCCTGAGGAATTTTTGGTCTGGTGCCAACCTAAATTGTTGGAAAACTGCTACACACAAAGGGCTTACTTTACACTGTGTTGTCTATAAAGTTGGTTTTTTTTTTTTAGCTTAAATATAGTCGACACGTGATGTTTCAGCTATACAATATAGTGATTCCATAACTCTGTAATTCATGCTATACTCACCACCAGTTAGCTACCTTTTGTCACCATATACTATTACAATACCATTGACTATTTTCCCTATGCTGTGACTTTCACCTCCAGGACTTACTCATTCCATAACTGGAGGCCACCCCACTTTAAACACTGAACTTGGGAGAGACAGCCTTTAATTTCTGAATGTTCCTACTGTATGCTTGTTAGTTAATAGGAACCTGGTATGAAGATGAAGTTTGAGTCACAAAAATTTAATTTGCCATTGTACCATTAAATCTGTTGATTAAAAATGCAGACTATTTCAGGGCCAAGGAATGAAGACTGTACTGAGTGGGACACACTACATTTTCAGCAATGGAGCAGCAGGAAATAAGGACGCTCTTTTAAAAACACAATTATGACTTTAATATACATAATTCCATCAAACAAATTGGGGTAATTTATTATCAGAATATAGTACATTATGTTTGCAGTTCTTTTTATCTCAAAAGCTAATATAGAGAGTATTTTAAAGAAATGATACTGTTAAATTATTCTGGTAGCATTCGTTTCTGCCTTGCGCTCATATATGGTCATCTTATCAGTTAAAAGACAGCAGGCACCAAAGAGTTAACTATCTAACTGCAGTGGTCCACATTTCTCCATCTTCTGTAAAGCTTCTTTTGAAACACTCTGCCAAAGGCCTCAATGACCTCAAAATAAACTATACTTTTGATCTTATATAACAATAACTCTGTTGAAAAATGATGGAGAACTTCCCAGGCCCGATTTATTCTCAAAGAACCAAGACTGACCACTTCTCTACATACTCACACACACACACACACACACACACACACACACACACACACACAAAACCATTCAAATGTATTCTAAAGTAGGGGTTGGCAAATCTGACCTGCTGCCTACTTTTGTAAAAAGCAGTGTTAATGGAACACAGCAATGTTCATTTGTTTACGTGTTGTTTAGCACAGATGTTTTCACGATGTAATGGCAGAACTGAGCAATTGTGACAGAGTCTGTATGGCCACAAAGCCAAAAATATTTACTACCTGGTCCTTTATAAGAAAGCTTTGCCGTCCCTTGTTCTAGAGTATTGCCCAGGATCAATATCAACCTTGTTCACGGTCTATGGAACCCATCTCTTATCCCTTTTGAAATACGAACCTCAGTTTCTCATTTCTAGTCTTTTAGTACCTTTCTCTACATACAACCTTTCACTATAATTCTTCAGTTCAATGACTGACAAATGTCTATAGTGATCTGAGACACAACATCCCATAAGGAAAATACCTTATTTTCCCTTATTCTGAGACATGATTAAGAGACTAATGAACCAGTTACTTAATAACAAGTTTTCAGGGGAAAATACCCTGCCATATTAATTATATATTGATTATGAGATGCTTCGTGAAATCAAAAAAAAAAAAAAAAAAAAAAAAAAAAAAAAAAAAAAAAAAAAGAAGGCATATAATGTCTAGAATCAGGGATATTGGAAAACCCATTTAAATCATGTAGGTACTGTCTTAAAACTTACCTCCTCAATGAGGACCAACAACTCACTCTTAATTATGTTATTTTACCCTTCCCAGTTTGAACATGACCTTCTTTGAAAGGGACAGAAGCAAGAGAGGATCCACATACTTCCAATCTGTCCTTTGTTATCATCAGACCAGCTGACTCAGAGAGGGCCTAACACCTCCAAACCCAACCATAAAAGCTGTTTTGCTGCCCTCATTCATTTTCAGAAGAAATTATTATTCCTCCTTTCTCACTTCTTCTCTCCCCACCTGGCCTCACATGTCCCATCTACATTGAGAGCAGTTTATTTTTTTGTGGACATAGTAGGAGGCAGCAGTAATTTCTTTTCTCTACTCCTGCGTTCCAGCGTTGGATATGCTCACAGAAATTTAGCCTTCTTGGCAACATTCCTACAGATCTGTGCAACTCCTTTGTATTCAACCTAACCAAAAAAAGTTAAGTGGATATTTTATAAGCTCTTTCTTCCACTCCCGGGGCAGGAAGATGAGCTGCATGTGACATGCAAAGGTCAAGGTGACCTCTTCAAGGAGAAAATTGTGCTACAGATCACAGCAGGGCAATGAAATCTTCTTCCACTTCTTTACATCCTAGTCTGAAAGGATTCACACGAAGGTTCTCAAGAAATTCTGAGTTCTTTGTGGCTTTCCCTATTAGTGTTCTCTGAACTTTCTGCTCAACTACTTGAGATTTTTTAAGCCCACCTACCTCTTCTCTGACAGCCCTCCTGATCTTGAGCTAAACTGCCCACAGAGAACCATCAATGATTAACATTTAGCCAGTGCCCAACATCTGCTCAGGCAGGATATAGGCTTAAGACTATTTAATTCCCAGAAACAACATAAAAGGTGATCACCACCCAGGAAGATTTTTAAAAGGATGACAGTTAGCACAAGTGGTCCCCGGTCAGATTTTTGTGTGACAGGATGAGGTGAAAAAGTCCTGTGGAAGAAAATGTTAGGGTTGAAGGTCACTGTGTGGGTAACCCAGGCCTGCTTGGCCACATGTCCCAGAACATAGCTTCTACATTGTCACACCTTTCCTTTCTTAACATGTGGACCTTGAGATTCTCTTTAAATTTAAAGTCTTTATATAATAACTCACTTAATAGTGGCTAGATAACAATGGTAGGAAAAAGGGAACAGGTATGTGAAACTCTATGTGTGGATTATAAATTAAATAAGGGAAAAAGTAATTAAAATGATCCCTTTGTTATTTTGAACAAGGAATGGAGGGGGCACAAAGTCCAATCTATACCATATTTCATTTAGTTTGGTTCTAAATTCTTAAGAGTTTTTAAGGGAAATAAGAGTTAAAATATGAAAATCTTACATTGATTGCCTTTAAAACTATCACTTGTGTTAGTTTATAGCAGGAAACATAAAAGTTTGAGATGTTTGCATATTCTCTGTAATAATCTATACTTTAGTCTTCCTTATGTACATAAAACAGGTATGTATTTATATGGGAAACAGGGGGATATCATGGCAAGAATAAGGCAAATTTAGATTTGAAACCTTCATCCACCTCTAGGCCATATGCTCTGCCACAAGATGCTAGTCTCAACTTTCTCATCTATAAGACAGAGGAAATGAGCCTTCCTTATAGTGGGGAGAAAGCAATAATATATATCAAGTGCTTAGTAAAGTATCAGGTGGTAGGTGCTCAAAAAATATTCTTTGCAACTCCCACTCATACTACGTAGAGAAGAGCTTTATAATCTTACAAGCTTGGTGGCCAGAGAGCAGATACTTTCCAGTATTAAATGCTCTATCTCCAAGTGGTGTCGAAGTAAAGCAAGGCCTGAGTAATCCAATGCCCACAAGAAACAGACTCTAGTTGTAACAGTCTCTCTACCTAAAGTAAATTCTGTTAGATGAGATATGCAATCACCTTCACTGTCACATTAACACAAGCACCTGCAGAAACAAAGAACAGTTCACAGTTCACTCTGTT